GCGGGGCTGAAGGCGCTGGCTTTCCTTTTGGGTTTTACTTAAAACGAAACGTTTCCTTCTGTGTAGGGCTAACACACCGCACACGCGCGCATACAGTTCCCTGGCTCCCTAAACAGTCAACTCGGGTCCGACCTAAGTCAACAGCGTCGAGAAATGCGAAATGATTCCGGGGGACGCGGGGCCGGAATTTGCAACGTATAATTAGGTCGAGATGTCTGTACCTCCCACTCTCCCCTGCACTTTCCTTGCGGACGTCTCCCTTCCGTTCCTCACTTTCCGGGAAAATAGCACCTCCTAGGCTCTGCCTGCAAATGTCACTACTACAGGACTTTCTCCTACTAGCTTCAGGGAGAGGCTCCTGCTGCCCAAGGTTACCAGGAAGTCAGCAGGTGACGCGTGCATATTTCCGCGTGTGATGTACAAGTCAACGCCAGTATCTCTTATTCAGAGTCTAAAACAGCAAAATGGAGAAGTGAAAGGAATTCTACGTTATATTGATGATCGGTTAACTGCTAGCCCAAAGAACGGCTTTGCAGAGCTCCACATATGACTTCCACGGATCCACAGCGCCCACTAGCGCCCAGTTTTACTTCTCTGCATCTTTGGAGCACACGTCGACCTACCCGGAACCAGTAGCTAATCAAGTCAGAAAGCCCAAAATAGGATCTTTTAAAATGCCTAGCAGCATGGAGAACAATCCAAAAATAAGGCACAGATCAAATGTACAGTTCATAGTTTAACAAAAATTAAACAATAAAATATGCTGTATACCCAATTTTATGTTTTTAAATGCTGTCCCTGCCAGAATTTTTTCCAAGGAAGAAACCAGACATATTCCCAAAATTTTCACTAAGCTACATTAAGAGAAGATATTATGTTAAGACACCTTATTTAGTTGCTTATTAGTTTTTTAAATACACTCCATATAACAATCTGGGGATTTTCAGAGTGCCATGGTTTTTGAAGCAATAACATAAGTTAATGCATACTTCACCTGGAGTGTGTTAAATTTCTGAAGACTAATTTGTTAGGATAAAACACACCAAGGTGTGCAAACAAATCTTTGAAGAGAAAACGTTTCGTTTTAAATAAGACTTCAATTTAAGAAAATACATTTTTTAAAAGTCTCAACAGGGGCTGGGGTTGTGGCTAAGCGATACAGAGCGCTTGCTCGTATGTGTGAAGCACTGGATTTGATCCTCAGCACCACATAAAAATAAACAAGCAAAATAAAGGAATTAAAAAAAAAAACCTCTCAACAATGATACAATTTGAACTTACTGGCCCATTACCAGGAAGACTAAAAAGACAGGAAAAGGCAGGCACAATTACTCAAACTCCATGAAGATAGTAAAAATGAACTCATGTTTAATGCTTTAAGAAATAAGGAATTCATTTAAATCTATGTAACTAGCTGAATTAATTTTTGAAAGAACTGAGTACCTTTCACATTTAGCAAACTTACACTGTGAAATTTAAGCTGTGACCTCCTTCATATCCTTTCTCCAAGTAAGCTAGGAAATAAAGGAAATTTGTATTGTCTAAAAATAACTAAGTTTCCAAAAATACCATCTGGAGTAAATCAGCTATTCTCACATCCAAACCATTTTACTGGGGGAAAATGTAAAATGTAATTATTGATTCTTTTAAAAAAAAATCAGTGCATAGTACACAACCCCAAAGATTGGTATTGTGTAACTTTAAAAGTATGTAAACTTTAAAAAACTTACTTTCAAATTTCAGTAAATATAGATTTTAGAGAATAAATGTAAAGCATCAACAACTACAAACAACTCTGTGATGTAAAAAGTCCACTTTGATTAGATACTTTGTTAACTAAAAACATAACCACAAACCACTTCCATCATACATCATCCCAGGCAAAATGTCATCTTGCCATGTACAAAATACTAGAGAAATTCTAAAGGATGCCAAATCAAGAACCCACATCAGTTTAATCTATTTGCATTTTGACTTCATTTTGCAATTACATTCTTGGTTGTTTTTGAAAATCTGTAATTTTGCCAGGATGTAAAAAGATGAGACCTTATTTCCACAGATGAAGTCACTTCTGTTTCCTGGAGTTATGAAGTTTCAAAAGTCAAACTAATAAAGGCTTGGGGATTTCAAAGATATGGGCAATTTTAAAGTTAATGTAAATCAATGTGTATTACAAAGCAGCAAATACAAACACTGGTAGTTCCAGTTAAAGAAAACGTAATTTACTAATTAATCATATTCTCACCTTCGGTTAACCTTTAAATCCTTGTACTTCTAAATACATAAAACTTCTATAAAAACAAAACCTTATCTAAACAATATTGCAGAAAAATCACTGAGATATTAAGTGTGGTGGTCTAAGCCATAAACTTTTTATTTACATAGACCTCTCCTGAAATTGCACGGTTTCCTGGCATTGTATGTCGTTTCATACAAGTCACTTAACTTTTCAGAACTATGGTAAATCACATTTTGGTCAGTTCTCTCAAAAAAATAAAATCCTTTCTTAAAAAATCAACTTTGGCCAGCCCAGTGGCACACACCAGTTAATCCCAGTGGCTCGGGAAGCTGAGACAGTTTAAAGCCAGACTCAGCAAAAGTGAAGTGCTAAGCAATTCAGTGAGACCCTGTCTCTAAATAAAATACAAAACAGGTGGGGATGTAGCTCAATGGTCAAATGCTAGAGTTCAATCCCTGGTATCAAAGAGGCGGGGGGAATCAAAACTCAACTTTGCCACACAAACCTATCCCATTTATCTGCTTCTGAAATTCAGATTACTAAAGCATCTTAAAATTATAGCCTGCTTCTTTACAGCTGGCAGGAAACCCTACATTAGTCTTCATCAGAATTATTCCCTCTGGCAAGTTTAGTGACATGTCTCTTACTTCTCTGTTAGTGGTCACCTTGTCTCCAGCACAACCTATCTTTTCTTTTACAGCATTTCCATTTGAAAAATAGATACTTGAAAGAATACAGAAATGGCTCCAACTACCTTGGGCACCTAGCATAAAACCTCATTTCCTTATTTGCAAAGAGAGGTTTGGAGAACCAGCCAAGCTCCACTTGGCATTAGGTAGTGGTGGAGACAACGGAGCACTTCACTTAACAGCTCGCTCTGCAGGGTTTCCAGTGTATTGGTTACTTTGGTATCTTATTCTTTATGGACTGATACAGACATTCTACATGAAAATTCCAAGTTAAATGCTACTATTGTAAATACATAAGGGGAATTACTGAGGACCGTGATGAGGTAATAATGGATCTTCTATTTTAGGCCCAAACCCCCTTCTCAACCCTTGTCCTCCTTTGTAGGGGAGTTTGACAACTCAAGTTACATATTCTTTATTATACCTATTTAAAGCCTAGAAAATGAGGGAAAGAAACATTCAAATGTATAGTTATTAATCTCATTTTATTTAAACCCTAATAACTCAAGTTCAGTATCAAGTTTTAATAATCTTAGAAAATATACTACCACTATAACACATACATGCATAACTTTGGATGCTTTATAGTGAAATTGTTGGAACATTGCAGATATTACTTTCTACTGGCTCAGAGAAGTACTCCCACATCCTCTGATCAACCACTGGATAAGGGCGCAATTGTCTTTTCAAGTACGACTTCCAACGGAGTGTTAAAATTATAAATTCAATAAGGTATGAAACAACATATCACTGACTTGGGGGGCACTCTACTAGATGTAAAAACAAACAGATTTCCATTACTTTCTAGGATCAGAGTAAAGTTCCAAAGAAATACTCTGTAGTGTAGGAGGATGGTTCACACACACCCTAGAGTTCTCTGCACTTCCCCTTCCCTTGTGGTTCTTCAAACCATTTACTCTAATAACTGTAAGAATATATAAGAATATATAAGGCAATGAAATCTGATTACCATAAGTAATGGTAAATCAGCTTCAAAATGTATAGTGCAGTCTGTAAGAAATGCAAATCTACATTACTACATCCCTGGATTCTCCCTCTTCATGGACAATTGAATTCAAAATGAGCACTTAAAAAAATAGCAAAGGATTCAAGACCATTGTTAAAAGGCAGTTTAATCAATGGTTGATGGAAGATAAAGACCTACTGCTTGGACCTTAACTGACTCTCTATTTCTAATCTGAGGTCCTTCTTTTACCTTCCATACTCCTAGGTCCTTTCATTAACCAGTAACAGATCTAGTGTTTATAGAGAGTTGACAAGACTCTCCTACAGGGGATGGATTTCCCAAAATTGGATGGTCTGTCTTCAGCATTTCTCATAGCCAGAAATGCAAAACACATAGATGGTAATGGGTATAATGGAGTGAAAAATAGAGACACCTGAAACACAAGTTCTAAGAGTTGATAGTTTGAGAAAATGTAGTTAAGTGACAAACTGAGAATCCTTAATATGAGGTATTAGAAATGATAAGCAAAATTAACTACAGGATTCTGTTTATTTTATTTCAGAATATTATAAAGAAATATAAAGTCATTCAAAATTCCTAAAGCAAGGCTTTATCTAGGAATTATGGCAATAAAAAATAATTAAGGAAAAAAAAAATCAAGCAAGCTATGGACATACTAACCCAATTAAATAAATAAGGAGAGGCCAGAATCAGTTTAATATGCTAACTCTTACAGAGAACCTGAGGTCATAAGTCAAACTACAAGCCCCTTACCCTACTAAAGCATTAAAGAGTACTCACACCAAGCTAATTTAAAGGTTTAGTTTATACAATTGATAATTCTGCAAACTCCACAATATAAATGGCAATAACTACATGTTTTAAATACTGTAATAAAAAATAAACAGTCATTGGTTATTCTGTAATGCAATAAGAATTAATAACCTAAGAAAACAAATTGTGAATAAAGGCATATTTAATAAATTAGGGAACATCTGAACTAATGGATTAGGGGGAAAATTTAACTTTTATAGTATGTACACAAAGGCAAGGGAAACAAATGAAGAAAAACAAATTACTACATTATTGCAGCACAGAAAAGATTGGGTGTATATTATTAACAATTACAATCTCTTTCCTGTAGCCTGGCAGAGAACAGAAGTCAAGCACAGGGACAATTTCATCTCTCAAGTGAGTCTCCAACAGCAAGTAGATACGGCAATTTCATTAAGTGACTTACTGTTATTTCACACAATATGTGGCAGTAAGAAACTTAAAAAAGGATTAAAAGGCACGCATACGCTGATTTCAAATATTTTAAGTTCAGGCTACTCTCTTCAGATACAATGTTTAAAACACTAGTATAGCAAAAACAATTTTTAAATAAACATTTCCAAAAACTTGAATACACAACTTAGGAACAGTGAATCTGCATCAAAAAAAAGTTACAATAAAAAAAAAGTGTCAGAATCATAAAATAATCACAGCTAATTTATATTAGAGATAAGAAAAACTTGTAGGTAACCTATTTGTTAGGGAAATAAAGTGAATGTTTGATTTTAGAATAACAGGTATCATGTTTATTAAAAGTTCTCACTACAGTTCATGCCTACTTAAAATTCTATCTTTAGAGATATTTAAGCTGATTTTATTATTCCTTACCACAATTAGACTCATTGAAGAGCTCAAAATAAAGCAATAGCATTTTTCTTAGCATGCACACACTATAAAATAATCTACCATTTAGTCATCTCATTAACTTGTTTCCAAAATTTAAAGAATGATCAAACTGTCTTGAAAATACTGGGGAACATTTTCTCTAGTGTGACATGTTTATGCATCGCAAGTAGCATTTTTATATCCATATCCTTTTCTTGAATAAACATTTTAACACCAGTAGACTTAAACATATATAAGGATGAGGCAGATTCTAGTGTATAAGATGGAAGTCATCCATAAGGTTCCACGTGCAAAACACAAAGCCGAAGTCAAAAAGGAAAAACGAAAAATCAAAACAACAATCAAAAAACCCATCAAACAAAAACCTTATATAAAAGTTTAAAGGTGTTCGTCCAAAAAATAAACATGCAAGGATGATTTGACTACTTTAGCCTTTTTGAATGTTCAAAGCTAAGTCCTTTCTGATGGCCCCCTTTTGAAAATGATCTAATATTCCATAAATTTTTAGATGCATTTTTCTTGTCTTTATTAAGTATAATTTGTGGTGACAATACTTGTTTCCTAAAACAGAGGCACAGGTTTAAGGAGTTAAATCTCCTTCTAGGTGTTGTTAAGTCTTCTTAAAGGTAATATTTGATGTCATAAGTGCTCTATCAGCATAAAGTAGGTATTTGTAAAAATAGCCATTAAACTATTTCACAAGTATATTTAATGGACATATAAACCCTATGCTAAAAATATAAATGAGGAAGTATAGCATAGTTCTAAGACTTATATTGTTGACCATCAAAAAGTAAACCACCCTCTTTTTAAGACTTAACAAAACTTTAAAAAAAATTGCTTAAACATATGAATTTAAGACTTTACTTTATTCAGCAAAATCATTTATTTACACAATGGGGAATGCTGGTTTGATTTTGTCAATGAAATAAAAACAAACTGAACAGAGACAATACTGAACTGTATATATATATGTATATATATATTTTGTATCAGAGTTGACCAACTGTTTCCTTACCTGTATCGGGAACATCAAGAGCAACAGTATCACAAGGACACTGGTTTAACAATACACCACACAGGTCCAGTAATACCCTGGGAATTTTCCAATGCAATTACCAACTTTTTCTTTTTTTATAAAGATATAAAAAAACAAAAAGTCAGCGAAACCAGCATTATGATGTAATAAACAGAGTATAACCCTGAAGTCAGTGGGTCAGTAAAAACCTTATCAGACCATGTAGTTACAAAGTGATCTGCTCTTCTTCAGACCACAATTCAGAATCCAAACAGGTGAAAAAATATCACTTTTTAGAAGATAGCAATGATCTGATAAGGATTTGACTTAATGGAAGTTAAGGGGGAAAAAATAAAAATAAAAGGGATTGCAGAGCATAGCCCCTATTAGAACAAGCTAACTTTCCAGATTTTCCAAATTTAAAAAAAAAAAAAAAAAAAAAAAATTAAAAAAAAAAAAAAAAACACTTCAACATGAAGCTACCATACAAAGTTTTTCCATGTTTCTTTGTAAAAAGTTCAGAGTTTGCAATTTAATCCTGGGTTTTTAATGAGAAGGACAGTTTTGGCCTGGACTTCCCCTTGCCCAGGATAATTTTTTGTTCTTCTTTTTGTTGACGTTGTCGTTCTTGTTCTAGTTTCATCCTTTCCTCATGAATCTTTCTTTGCTCTTCAACAATTCTCAACTGTTCTTCAGCCTGTAAATTAAAAGAAAAATTAGACCTATAAATTTCCACGCTTTTACTAATATTTTGTCTATCAAAGTGACAACTGACGATCAATAAAACATTCGAGAGCATGTTTCTCAAAGTATACCTATCACACATTAGATGATAAAAGGAAAAGTGATGAAATAGAACTCTTCATTATTCCTGCATTTTCTCTATTTCACATTTTATGAACAACAACAAAACTGTAGGAAAACACATTTTGAAAATGGAAAGAAATTTCTACAAATCATCTTTAGTGTAGATTTTCTTTTACTTATCTATGAATTATTAACCAAAACTATCAATTATAAATCAAGGCAGGTTTTTATTACCTACTGGTTACTATATTCATAATTAGAAAAGTATACAATAAATGATATGAAAAATCCCCACTGGGGCTACACTGTGTTGTTGATATGCAACCAAGTAATACTATAGACATAATTTCCTAGAGAGAAAAAAATTAGTAAACTTAGTGAACTAAAAATGCTATCTAATTTCAAATGCACAGTGATTTAAGTAACTCTTGCAGTGCCTTCAACCCCTTCAATCTCAAGCAAAGAATTTCCTGTATTCTCCTACAGGTTTCCTCTCTTTAACAAGAAAATTCCAGCCACTGTCATAAACTTCTTATTAAATCCTTCCTTCCTACTTCCACATCCAATTCCTCAATTCTAAACCAGGCATACTATTACTCCTCCTTCCCCTAAGACACTATGCAATGATTAGGGAATAATTTTGGATGTCACAAATGGAGATGATTACTTGCACCTGGGGGGTAGAACTCATGAACAATGCTAGACATCCTATAATGCAAAAGATAGAATCCCACAATCAATACCAAGGGTTAACAGTGCTACCATGAGAGCCTGTTTTTAACCCCTGAATTTTGGATCCATCACCCATGTGTCCTTTTTTCCCTCTGATCTTGATTTTTTAAAATTATTCACTGCATCCTGTGAGCTCCCTTCAATTTTCATTCAATCATTTTAAGTCTTTACTTCTATTTCCATTATTCTATTGAAACTATTCTCAAGATGGTCAATAACAATATATCCAGTGATCTTTCTCTTTATTTGAATAAATTATTTAAGTATTTTAAAAATGCTCTCTCCTACATATTCTCTAATACAAAACACTAGGTTCTCCACTGGATCACGCATTTTGTCTCTACTTTCTTTTAAAAAATAAAACATAATGTGACTAGACTGAAGGACTGTTGGCAGATAATAGCTTCTGGGATGCAAAAATGCTAAAATTTTATCTTATGGATACGCAAAACAGAAAGAAAAAAAAAGCATCTCCTAAGTATGATAATACAAAAAGGTTTAAGACAATGCAGGGAAGACTAAAAGGCAGAAGAAAGATGATGGAACAGATCTACTATAGTTAAGTCAGGTTAGAGAGAAATAAGCAAAGATCGGGATGAAATGAGCAAGGCCCTGGTAGCTGGGTCAGGTGGAAAATCCAAGAGAGATATAACATCATCTTTTCTCTCTCTGATCTTTTTTCTAAGCTACAATTACAGGACACAGAGTCCCAATGGTCCTTTCAAAATTCAACATGCTCAAACATATAAATTTTTCTATCTGCTGTTCTAATTCTACGGATTTCTTTTGCCTCCTTCTTTCCTGAAAACAACTAGTCATTAAGTCTGCTTAATGCTTCTTTTACATTCTCTCTGGTCTGAGAGTTTATGCTTGTTTCCATTGCCAACATACAAATTCAGGGTCACACATCTCTTGCACACCTAAAACAATATGCCTGTTTTCAGTGTGTCTTTTAATCTATCCTACAGATAATGTGACTAGACTTGCTTTTCTTTACCATTCCTCTCTTGCTCTCAAATTTCCAATGATTTTCCCACTGTCTACAGAACATAGCTAGTGTTTCTAAATCACGTTTCTATAAGCCTTAAAACTTACACTAGGATTGGGTATAGCTCAGTTGGTAGAGTGCTTGCCTCGAAAGCACAAGATGCTGGGTTCAATCCCTTGCAACACATACACACTCACCCCAACAACAAAACCTTACACTAAAATTCTACTTGTACATTAGAATCTATCTCAAATCACTAATCTTCCTTAGATTTTCCATGACAATTACAACAAAAAATTATATTTCTATTCTTTAGCTAACTCATATGCCAATTGCGTTATTCAGTTTTAATAAATCATCACACATTTAGGATAAAAAAGTGTGTACTACTGAATAAAAGTGTGTTGCGTGTGTTTTAGGAAATCACTGTCAATATAAAACACCCAAGCTCATTTTTCCCTAAAAATCCAATTCTGCCCTAGAAAAGCATATTGGAACCCTGGGGAGTGAGGGTGAAAGGGCAAAAAGAAAGAACATTATAACCTCAACCTGAGATTAGAATTAGAATTACAGAGATACCATCTTTGACCCTACCAAACTGACAGAAATCCAAAAGCATGAAAACATTTTCTATCTTAACAAAGTGCACTTTGATCCCCATCAAAATTGTACCCTTTGCAATACTGTAACCCAATGATTTCATTTTCTGGAATTTATAAGTATGCTTGCACACATGCAAAACTAATAATTTGATAAGGTTATATATTGTAACATAGTTCATAAAAGGAAAAGACTAGAAATAAATCCAAATATTTAGCAATTAAGCACTGACATTAAATAAGATATAAAAAGATCTATAAAAAAAAAAACTAAAAAAAGCCTCCACATTCTGAAACAGAACAAGAATATGCTATTACAGGATAAAAGTAAACTGCCAAATAGCAGAGCATGCATACAGTGTATGCTACCTTCATGCAATAAATAAACATATATTTACCTCTGACATGCATTTTAAAAATTCTAAACAAAAAACATAATTGAATGTTTTAGGAGATGGGAATAAGAAGTGGGCAGATCAGGGGAAAGATACAGGAACTTTATTGTATATTTTTCTTTAAAAGTCATGCGAACCATGTGACTATATAATCAAAAAATTGAAACAAAAATTATAAAGTAAAGCAATTCCATGGAAAAATCATAGTGCACTGAAGTTACCTTTACACCACAAATAATCAAGTCTCATTTTTGTTTAGGTCTACAAATATAAAAGATGTAAGTACGATTGTAGAGTAGAGCTATAATTTCTCTGGGACCATGTATCTCAATAGAAGTTAATTCCCAGTGCTAATAATATAGCACCAATTAGAAGTACTTAGTAATGTAATAAAGTTTTTGTGGCTGGGTGTTGTGGCACACACGCCTATAATCCCAGTAGCTCAGGAGGCTGAGGCAGGAGGATCACAAGTTCCAAGTCAGTCTCAGCAAATTAGTGAGACCCTATCTCAAAATGACAAAATAAAAAAGGGCTGGGGATGTGGTAAGTGGTTAAGTGCCCCTGGGTTTGATCCCTAATACGCCCCCCTCAAAAAAAGTGTTTTTCTGTCCATCCTTTGGTAAATTAAGTACCCTTGCTAGGTCTTTTTCTAAACCCTAACCTCCCTCCAATTAACTTCTTCCTTCCTGACTGACTCAATCTAGCAGAAAGCATCCATTGTTCTTCTCACCTCTTCTTTTGTTTCACATTTATGCAGAAAAAAAGAGTGTATGCATGGGGGTAAGGAACAATACAAAGTTACAAGGATAAAGTTGTGAACATCTTGGAAGTCAAGGAGAAACTTAAGGCCTACAACAACACAGCTATTACATTTGGACAGGTCTTCTGCAACCCACCCCAAAAGTGACTGGTAAGAAGGAACATACAGAAACAAAATGTACTGTTATGTTATAGGTAAGGAGCCCTTTTACCCTCCCAGTATCCTATACCTTATCTTTACTCAGAAAATCTAATGATATTATAAAAATTACTCTCATACTTCAATTGCATTGCCTGTAAATTTATTCAAGGTGTTGCCGAACAGTCCCTTTAAGTAAGGATACTGAAAACCACTCACTATTTGATATATACACAGACCTGAAATCTTATAGAATGTTAAAAAAAACAACCCAAAGAGAGATATTTGTTATGAAGAGTAATTACACCAAAAAATAACACCAAAAAAAATTAAAAAGTAAAAAACAGCACAATTAGGAACCATGCCACTACTAAGAAATATGAACTTTGGATGTTTTAAAACTTCCAGAAAACTGGAAATCCATATGCAACAAAATGAAACT